GGATGGGAACAACCAGATAGTGCCCCTTGCGCACGGAATATGCAAAAAAGAGAGTGGTCTTACTTGGATATGGTTTCTTGAAAAGTTGTATGAATGTGTTGGTGATTGTCAAGAAATTGACTTTTGTAACTGATCGGGCCGATGCAATTCGGGTTAGTATTGAAAATGTCTTCCCTCAAGCTCATCATGGCGTGTGTGCTTTTCATCTACTAGGAAACATAGTACACAAGTTTGGGAAAAATGACAAAACAAAAGTGTTGTTTTGGAGGCTTGTGAAAGCTTACAAAAGAAATGTTTTTGAAGAATTGTGGTCTAGATTTAGTTCTACTAGGCCGCAAGTAGCGGCGTATCTAAGTGAAATTCCGCGTGCTAAATGGACTAGAGCATATTCCCCGTCGAAACGGTACGATTACATGACCTCCAACAGTGCAGAGTCAATGAACGCTTTATCTGTAGATGCAAGGAAGATGCCTATAATACCCCTTCTTGAGTTCTTCCGTCGTCTTTCTCAGGAATGGTGTAACAAGCGTCGCATCGATGGAGGTATGAAATTTATTTAGACTTTAATTATCTCTAATAATAATTTAATTATATATATATATTCTTTACAGGGAAACGTTCAACAGTGCTAACCGAGTGGGCTGAAAAAGTAGTTAGTAAAAATGAAGTGCTAACTTAAGGGAATTGCACACGTACAACAACAGTAATTAACTTAAGGGAATTGCAAAGGATACTTTTCTTTCTCCATTGTTATGTAGTCGTCCCTAATTCGTATTTTATCTTCCATACGGTCCTTTTGCCTCCCAAGTTCTATCATTTCTGCATCCTTGCCAGATAGCCATTTTTCAGACAGTTTGATATTCTTCTTAGCTGTTTTTATCCAATCCTCATGATCTTTGATTTCTTGTTTAGTATTCGCCATCCTTTCCTCAACCTCTTTGCACTCCGCCGTAATGAGGTCACGACGTTCAGTGAGAGCTCGAGATGACGCTTTATCTTTTTTTTGTTGTTCTTCAGCCCATTGTAGTTGTTGCAAAGTATCCTCAGACATATACCCGTCTCTTAAATTTCGTGATGGGGCAAGAAAAGGGTCGATCGGATCACAATAGAAATAATCAACTTCGTTGCACGAGCAAATATACAAACTTGAAGATGAACTCATTTGTAAATTTATAAAATATTTATAACTCGATACCAAAAATCCAACGACCGTCCATGACTATATATAGTCCCTTCAACTCCGCAGAGAGGTGTTTGTAAGTCCGCAGAGCTGTTTGTCTGGTCGTTGTCATCCGCAGAGAGGTGTTTGTCAGTTCGCAATAATTTTTGTCAGTCCGCAGAGTTGTTTGTCTAGTCATTGTCATCCATACTTTATTATTTAAAGGTAAACATTTTTTATTAAAAGGTAAATATTTATTATTAAAAACTAAACAACGCCAACAGACCATTACAACTACGGTTAACATACAACTGAATACAAATTAATATGGTTCAACTGAATTGTCGTGGAGGTAAGACCACAACACTTTCAACTGGTATTTCCCAATGCCTGCGGGTTGGAATAGGATTGACCGTCTCAGTTTGATAACCATTTCGATACACCGCGGTGCTTAACTTTAAATTTACCATTCTATGGATTTCTGCAATTTCAAGCCTTTGTAGTGAAGCTATAGCATGCTCACAAGGTATACCGCATTTTTGCCATTTACCGCAACTACAAATACCACGATCTAATTGCACATATTCGGTTGTTGAATAATTACTCACTTCATATTTGTCGCTAACAATATGCATAATCCTACAACCATCCGAGTGCATAAATCTTTTATGAATCCCCTTAAGTGCATAAGGCGTTAAAAGGCCATGAAAATCTCCTGTGAAATGTACTGAATGAATAAACAAAAATTATGATGGCATAACATATAATAACATATCAATTGACCATTTAAGTTATGTCCTAACTTATAATTACCTCCAAAAGCAGCACGTTGAAGATACACTGCTTGCATTGAGTCATGGACCATTTCAATGATTGTTGTAATTGGAAACTCATGCGTGTTTCTTCTAAACCAATTGACAACGTCGGGAATGTCAATGAATTTAATATTGAAACGTACTCTAGGAAAAAAAGCCCTTACCCATTTTGCAATGGGAATATTGTCAAGCCAATGAAGATGATTCCAATTAACCTGATTTTGTAAGTTGTTCATGTTGGATATAGTGTCTAAGTCCATAACTATATTTGGTGTGTACTTGACCCGACCCAGCATGGTCCATTTGGGTTGCACTTCACCCGAACAATTTATGGATAATCGTTTGAGAATAGTATAAGTTATGATTTATTAATATATTATAAGTCCTAATATATTAATATAAAATCATATTATTTAATTAGTATTGATCTATAATTAATCTATAATTAATTTAGAGATCAAAAGTATGACTAATTAAATATGGGCTCTTGTATTTATATAGTGTGGGCTAATGCTTATTTGGAATGGGCTAGGCTTGCATGGAAAGTCCATGGATACTCCATGGAGCTTTAACCCATGAATCTCATGGAAATGAAAAGACATGGGTATTAGGGTTTACATGGATGTAACCCTAATCCACCACACTATATAAAGGAGGATTTGGTTCTTGAAATCACACGAGTTGTGGTGAGTAAAGTAAGAGAGCCGATTTCAAGAAGGTGATTACTATTCTCTCAAAGTTCCAAGTTTGTGGTGATTTGTGATTTCCATTTGAGGCATCCACACTATTGGTGCTAGGCTCTAAAACTCCAAGCAATCAACTACAACTACAAGGTAAGTCATTCTACTAGCTTTATTTGATTCAAGTTCCCCATGCCATGCTAGATAGGATAAGAACCTTTGAAAAATAATTATTTGCATGTATCATAGTCAAACATAGATCCAAGGTTTCTAGGGTTGCATGTACACCATAGGAGTTTTAGAATGCTGAAAACCCATCAGTTCAAACATGCATAAAAATCAGACATATTATACGCTTTACAAGTCTTCCAGAACAACTGCTCTACCACTGTATTCCACGCGGTGGAAGCGCGTATTTTCTCGGCTATATTTTTACAACAATAGACATGATATGAATCAGGGTAGACTCTTTGAACTGCAAAGTCTATGGAATCAGACATATGGCTTATGAAACCAACTTCTGTATTGTCACCTAAACATTCTTTAAGCCTCCTCATTAACCATAACCATGAATCGTCACAGTTTATGGTTCCCAAAGCAAACGCTATGAGAAGGGGTTGATGATTTCCATCTAAAGCAACCGCAATGTACATGGATGTTACGTACGTCCCAATTAGAGGTACATGATCAACGAATATGATTGGTATCATGGACGTGACAAACGTACGAATCTGCAAGTGAAGATAAGAATATTAGGTATATAACAACCTAAGGTAATTAAATGATTTATTATAACGGATTACATACCACACATCCCAATGCCACAAAACAAATTTTGAAACGATTGTACTGATCTTTTGTAATGTACGTGAAGGTGTTTGGATTAGTTCTTTGCAGATTATGGAAAAAACTCGGTAGGGTTGAGAAACTTTTTCTTAATACGTGATTGCCTGAACTCATTTTGACAACTCGGTAGGATTGGTTCTTTCGACACCACGTTACATATTTATTTATACACGGTAAACCTTATCAGTCCGCGTAGAGAAACTTTTTATACACGGTAAACCTTGTCAGTCCGCGTTACTGACTTGTCAGTCCGCGTTACTGACTTGTCAGTCTGCGTAGAGAAACTTTTTATAGACGGTAAACCTTGTCAGTCCGCGTTACTGACTTGTCAGTCCGCGTTACTGACTTGTCAGTCCGCGTAGAGAAACCTTTTATACACGGTAAACCTTGTCAGTCCGCGTTACTGAACTGTCAGTCCGCGTTACTGACTTGTCAGTCCGCGTAGAGAAACTTTATATATATATTAAACGTGGTATCTATACGAAATTCAAATCTTTAATTGATAATAGAGATCAATTTACAAAATGGCGTCCAATGTACCAAGTTCTTTGAATGTAGCAAATCCATCTAATGCAGCCTCTCCAACAAAGGGTACATCTCCATGGACGACAACAGAGTTGTTGGTCCTAACACAATGTTGGATTACCATTTACGAGGGTCTAACAGTAGTGGCTCCCCCTCATTGCCTTGTAGGTGATGAATGGTCCCGCCTAATAGCTTTGTTCAACTATCAGGTCGGACAAGGACAAGAACGACTAAAACCTGATATTGTTAGTAAATGGATGGATTTAAAGTTTAAAGTCACATGGTTCAATCGATGCTACAATCATGAGAAAATGCGACGCTCTCAAGCAGATGCTGAAGAACTTCTTCAAGACGTGAATGGATATTACTTGTGCGAGTTTGATGGAACTGATTTCGAGTATACGGACGTTTGGAATCTGGTAAAAGATAAACCTTTTTTCATGTAGACGACTGTTTTATTTCCAATGTTTTATGTAATGTTTGTTAGTCGTAAGAAACCTTTTTCATGTAGACGACTCTTTTGTAATGTTTTTATGTTATTTGTAATGTTTATTGTGTTTGATTGTATGGTTTCGTAACATTTGTTGCTGAATTACATACTAGAAACAAGTATTTAATATTATTATATATATACAAAGTTCCTAATATCAACTTATATAGTTAGGCCTATATAGTATCCCAAATAACATTTGCCATCTGATTTCGAGTATACGGACGTTTGGAATCTGGTAAAAGATAAACCTTTTTTCATGTAGACGACTGTTTTATTTCCAATGTTTTATGTAATGTTTGTTAGTCGTAAGAAACCTTTTTCATGTAGACGACTCTTTTGTAATGTTTTTATGTTATTTGTAATGTTTATTGTGTTTGATTGTATGGTTTCGTAACATTTGTTGCTGAATTACATACTAGAAACAAGTATTTAATATTATTATATATATACAAAGTTCCTAATATCAACTTATATAGTTAGGCCTATATAGTATCCCAAATAACATTTGCCATCTTATTTCTGTAGAGAAATCCCGCATCTCTACGTGCCGTAGAAATCTTCACTGGTACCCCCGAAACAATCATTTCCATAAACATGCATACAAATACTCCACAATCCCCTCTGTCAAGACTATATTCTTGTTGTGACACGTCTACAACATCAACAAACTCCAGCTTTGCTTTGTCTTTGTGTCCAACGGGGAAATGTTTCCAGTACTCAATGACATCTAACTCTGAGATAATACTATCTCCAAAACTTGTGAATTCTCCACCAGTTAAGTACTTTGAGAAGTAACCCGCAATTCGTGCTGAATCATAAATTTCTACTTTCCAGGTATCTAAATGTAGCACCGCCATAAACGAATGGGCACTAATAACATTTATTACGGATAGAACCTGCAAAAAATAATATAAATTAAATACTCGTAATTTCAGTAATATTATATTTATAAAATAATAATTATTAAAGTTAACTAACCATATCCACATCCTTCCATTTAGGACAACCTCCAAAACCATTTGCTACATTCCTTAAAAATAATGATTTTCCGGGTTCCAAATTGATTTCTTGTGGAAATATCGTCCACCTAGCGTTCGTCGGCCGCCTTTCCATCAACAAGGAACTCCATATCGCAATATGCTATACATTTTAAGATAAAAATGTTAGAATTATTTATATAAATTCTAGTCTAAAAAATAATTAAAATTTTAATTAAAGGAATGTTACCGAAGAAAGTAACCACCCTTTGTCAGTAACAGAAAGTAACCTCGACCAAAAATCCATATCTAGTGGGAGAATATGCAGCCTATGTTTAGTGATGAGTTTGGAAGAGAGCACACTCCATTCTTTCCAAAAACTCATCGGACTATTACTATAAATACTGTCCAACAAGAGATGGTTTGAAACGTCACTACTCTCTGCATTGACAATGTCCTCATTTGTTTTTTTAGGACTCTCCTCTATTTTTTTCTTCCTTGTCTTGCTGATTTTCTTCAATTTTGCTGTCGATTGCATCTAAAAAATCAACATGTCAATAATGTAATATTTTAGAAATATACCAAATTTAAAATATGAGTTTTTTACCACTGTGAACGGAGTCCGCTGATACCATGCAACAACCCTCTTTCGTTGCGGCCTACCAATAAGAGTCACTATTTTTGTGTCATGTTCACCCACGTCTTGTGACGGCTCACCATGCGTAGGTGTAGGCACAAATTTCTCCTCCAAACCACCATAGTCGAACTGTGTATCATGGTAATATGGTTCTTCATCCTCTTCATTTATCATCTCCTCCTCCTCCTCCTCCTCCTCTACAAACCGTTTGTTTGGCTCATCTTTTTCATGTAATACACGATCTACTTTAGATGATAACTCAGCCCCAACGCCTAGTAGACGCTTCACAAATGCCTTTGTGCTACTCTTCTTCTTCTTTACGACCCTCGTTGATGTGTCGCTTGACGTATAAGTTGTTTCTATTTCAGGATGTTGCGAGGAAGAAGCATTTGTGGCAGATTCAATCGAACATGTATCCGACTTGTATATAGTTCTTCGAGGAGGCGAGGCAACAACAGGTGGACTATTTCGGACCGGACTATGTTGCGGTGGAGGAGACTCTTCATGGTTAAGAGTCCAATTGACGTAGCGAACATAAAACGGCAACATCAGCTCCGTCCCATTTGCCACGACTGGAATAGGTACGTTGTTAGGCTACAAAAATTAAAATCAAATTGTTAGTTTAAAATGAAAATACGTTGGAATTTGTAAGTATAAATAATCCTTAATATAAAAAGCATACCACAAGCACGTTGATTATTCGACGACAGTTATCCCAAGATAACGGTGTTTTACTTCTCCACGACCTCATCCGCGGCAATTCTGTCGGGATGCGTACATAAAATTTGGTTGCCTCGGGGAACGTCTCCAAAATCTAGATCTATAGAAAGAAAATTTAAGTATCATGATATTATATTTTATACTACAAACCGAAGTTCAATGTTATTATCGTATAAAAACAAAACAATGATAAGTAATTAAATTTATTAGAAAATAACCTTAAACGGCAGCATAAAACCAGGAACGGTATACTTGTGTATTTTCTTGGATTCGGGATTGACCTCCTTGAATTGTCTAAATTCTACTATTTTCTTAAACATTCCACGCATCATCCGCGAAGTATACCTCCAAAAATACGTACCCCATGCAAACCTGCAATTTTCATATTGTATATTATAGTTATTATTATTGTATTCTATTTTTACACAATATTTAAATGTAATACCTGTTCCAATCATCTTTATTATCAGCAAGCTTGTATATTGCAGCGGGAATGCACGTTTTAACGTCCCGTCCGTGGAGTCCCTTCAACACAAAAACAAGCTGGATAAGCATCACAACATCTTCATCTTGAACTGCTAAATATTTTGGAGACATAATGAAGTCTTCCAAATCTTTCAACCGCATACGCGCATCAGAAATGTCTGGGAACAACCGAGCACGAAGACTTGAATTTGACCGGCCTTTTTCATCGTGGAGTAAATCCACATAAGGACCAACCTTTAAACCACAAATGAGAATATATTCCGTTTCACCAAAATCCAAATGCGTCCCTTGTATATCAAAAAAAAACCTCCCCATTTCAAATACTTCTTGAGACCTTACTTCGTGCAACATCATCAAATGCACAAGTAACGGATCACCATGTGGGATATGCATTCCTAAGAATATTCCAAACGGCGAAGCTTCGAATAATTGTCGTTGTGATTGTGTCAGCCGCGGAAAATAATCTTTAATGATAGTACCCACTACACCTTTTAAAGTTAAATCCGCTTTTTGATTGAGATCTAAATGCTGCAAAACATAAGATTTAATTTAATTTAATTTAATATAAAAGGACATGAAAAAAAATTAGGAAATTATGTTTAAGGTCATTCCGCGGAGAAGGCTCTGCGGATAGACCAACACCTCCGCGGATAGACCAAATCCGCTTTTTTAAACAGGATACTTCACTCCGCGGAGGGTGCTCTGCGGACTGATATAACCCTCCGCGGAAAGACATACACCTCCGCGGAATGGATCATCACCATTCCGGAACCCACCTGTCGAACTCCATTTTTTGCTATCTAAATTTTTTTATTTTGCCTATTTATTCAGTTTAATATAACCGGTTTTCAACAAATTTCATACATATACAACATTAATCCAAAGAAAGGAATGTGAGAAATACCCGGGATCCTAAACCGTCGCTCAAAATATTGGGGAGATTGTCCTCCATTACTGCCGGAATGACGTCGTAATCGAAGTCCTGGTCGCCGGTTTGGACGTCGGAAAATGACGTCGTTTGCTATCGTGGTCGCCAGAATCTTCGGTGGTAAGTCGATGTGGAGAACCGTCTTTGTCAAAGAGGAATCGGGGGACCAGTGGGGGGACCAAAGAGGAGGGTCCGATTTTGTCAAAAAGAAGACGGGCAAATGACAAAAATACCCCTCTCCGCGGAGGTAATATCGATCCGCGGAGGTCCGCAGAGGGCCCTCCGCGGAATGCGTGTCTATAAGTGGAAAAGTCATTTTTTATGACTAAATTTTGAAATTGGCCCCCTTTTTTGTCTGTTAGCGGTATTTTCCCTTTTTTTTATTGAGGTGTTGATTTGATCAAATTGTTAAAGATGGATTTCAAGAGCCTACATGCAAGCTATGATATCTTTCTTGGAATCCTTCAAGTGATGTGTATTGCACCATAGAATCCATTAAATGGAAACAAAAGAACGTGGTTAGATATGAATAAACCTTTATGGATGACATTTTTTACTAAATGTGAAAGGGATCCAATTGTTGTCATATAGAGTGATACAACACTCTGGTCAGTATCGAAACTGTAATAAAAAACAAAAAGATATAAATTTTCTAGCAAAATTTTAATTTGGAAAACAAAAAAAAGCGAAAAAAGAGGCAAAAAATTAAAGAAAATGGAAGCACACTTCCTCACCCTGTAATTCGTATAAGGCTTTTCGTAACCGATTTGAGCCATGCAATTTTAAACCTATGAGGAGTTGAGCAGTGAGTCAATGTTAAATTAGTAATTTTCTAACATAACTTCAAATTAATCATGATTTATAAATATCATATAATATCTCACAAATTCCTATGATCTTGGATGAAAACTCATGGTGAATCCTGTAAACACTCGTAGACCTGGTTTCACGCTGGAATTGCAAGTTCAACATTAATTCTGCACTCAAATATTGGAGATAATCTAAAAAAATAATTGAAATGTGACTCAAGTATAACACTTCATACACATTCAAGGCCACCTGAAAACAAGATACAATTTTTTTATTAATAAAATATGGAAATATCTTTAGAACATTTAAAATAAATAAATTCATAGAAAAATAAGAAAAAAATATCCAAAAAAACTTATATACCTTTGCATCTCCCATTTGGGCAATCCACTTATGATGTTTACTTGAACCGTACACCCCATTTTGTCATGACTTGTTTCACAGTGTTGAAGATCACCATTATGAAATTCCTGATGCATAAAAAACACTACTATAAATCAAACATATTGAAGAATGAAGTTTCATGAATTTCTCATTAATGTCAACATATGAATGAGATACAAAGATTCTCAAATTCATCACACTTGAACAAAATCATAACGCCCTGAACCAGCAACAAAATAATTGAAGTCATCAAATCTTCGAAAAGCTATCCAGCGACTTCATTTTTTCCATATTCCTTAACAATTCCGTCTCTACGATGATTGAGCTCGCCGGAATAATCAATTTATAATTATACCCTCAAAACTTAGGTAAACACTTCTATTTGAGTAATATCAATTTACAATTATTGGTTTACATTTCCTTAATCTACAATGAATTGAGTGTATTTTTAGATAAATCATAGATTATTACCTTCATGCCGGTAAAAGCACAAACACTTGTTGTGCAGAATAGCTAAAGTAATTCATCGAACACTTGATGTGTAGAAATTGAAGCAATTCATCGAAGACATATCAGAACCAAAACAGGTGCTGAAAAGCTGAGATTTTCATATGTCTATCTCTTTCGAGAACAAAAGAATAGCTTTAGTTAGCACATGTATTTTTCTCTTTTGAATTTCTGAGCGAATCTGTAGTCAAACACCGAAAGGGGGAGAAAGAGAATATGAACAATTAAGTTTAAAAAGATTCAAACCCTAGCTTCCTCTATAACTCTAGTATTTGAAATTTGTTGCGAGATTCATGTATTTTAAATTTAAATCAATATCTCGTTTCCAAAACCAAGTTTGCAAAATTGGAGGAAAAGATGCGTGATTTTGGGAATAAACGCCTTAAATGCCATAAGGGCAAATAGAAGGGTATAATGGTAAAATCACTTTTGGCTGAAAACGATTGTGGAAGAGGCATGTGTAAAAGAATGAGTCTTTTATTAAGATAGGTAGATATGACAGACAAATTAGGTGATGTTTGTTTTTTCTGAGGCAAAATGTCTGCAGTCTGCAGACCACATCTGTAGACCTCTTCAGTAGAAGAGGTGGACCAAACGTCTGCAGTCTGAAAAAAGAAGACTGTTTGTTTTTTTAACATCTGCGGGCTACTAAAATAAACTGAAATCTAAATAAACTGATTTTTTTAAACTTCAAAGTGATTTTTTAATATTTTTATGACTTTGTTATAAATAATTAAAGAATCTAGTCAACTTTTATGTATTATTGTATAAAAATAAAAATAAAAAATGTATGAATTAACGTATATATTTGATAAACACCAACAACTTTGGTTGCAAAGTTATAACTAAACATTATAATTAGTGATCAAAGAATTTGATAAATAAATGGATGAAAATAAACTTCGATTTTTTCAATTAAATCCATTAAAAACGTACCATAAATATTTTTTCTCGAGAAATTGACGATATTGTATTAAATAATGTTTTACAAAATTTGGCAAAAAAATATAAGAATATATTATGATTTTTTTTTTCATATTTATATAAACAACTTCAACGACTATTATTGTAATAAATCTTTATTTATAAATTTGTCAAAAATATCATGTTTGTATCGTCGAACGTTTTTTTTTTAAGTTTTGTAATTTTTTTTCAAATTATTTATCATTAATAAAGTTGGAAAAAATATAAATTAAAAAAAATTAAAAAAATGAAGATATATATGTTTTTTTAGGCTAGAAGATGTCTGAAGATGTTAGAAGACTTTGGTCCACATCTGCGCCAAGAAGAGGGCGCACAGACATTTTTAGGTCTGCAGTCTTCAAAAAAACAAACAGTCTGCGAAGGCTGTCTGCGCGTGGTCTGCGAGGCGCAGACAGAAGAGGCCACGCAGATCTGCAGACAAAAAACAAACACTACCTTAGTGAACAAAAATACTGCTGCTAATAATTTTAGGGCTTTATACGACATATCATATCTGCCACTAATTCGTTGCTTGACGATATTAGAGGATAATTATTTGTTTGTAATACTTGATGTAACCATGGTTGTAGAACTCGCTACTCGATACCTGTTCGGCCGACTACCGAGTAGCGAGTACTCGGGGAGTACTCGAATTCGGTACTTCATGTAGAAATATTTTTAGGGAAATTATATATGTCAAAATCATAAGTTAAAACCATAAGTTGATTTAAAATATATAACATAATTAGATACATGTGAATACACAAAAACTGAAAAATACACAATGGTCGCACTTCGTGAATAATTATTGAAAATTTAAGATATATATGTACTAATAATCACATGTGTGTTAAATAATAAATCATTAAGTATATTATACATATTAATCACCAAGTTGGCCGAGTTTTACAACATTGCTCGCTTCAATAAGGGTCTGATCGGGGATTACTCGGATTCTGTAACTCGCCACGGTAAGGGCCGAGTAGCGAGTACTTGGACGAGTAATCGGCCAACTCGGCGAATTTTACAACACTGGATGTAACGACTATTGATAATTTGATATCTAACCGCAAATTGTAAAACATAGTTGCTAAATTATAATTATTTAAATAGTTGAATGATTATAAATTATTTACAAATATTGTTTAAAGAGCATTTTCAATACGAGCTTTTAATAAGCTTTTTTAAGTTTTAAGTTAAAAAACTCTAATTTGGAAAAGTAGTAAAAATGAGTTTTATCAAATCAAAGTTTTTTTCAATGTTTGTTAATTAACAAATTTTTTATTAGCTTTTTCAGTGATTGTGTGTATCTCCTATGTTTTTAATCAACTATAATTTGACAACTTATAAAACGATCCATAAACATATAATTGAAAAAAATTCTTTGTAAAGATATAAACCTTTTCATTAAAAAATCTCCGATATTAAATGCTCTTACAAAAATATTGTGAATTATTGAGGAATATAGTTAGATTTTTAAGGTAAATCCAAACTTAAAATAGCACAACTAACATATGTCTAATAGTATAAAGTATAGAATTTAAAATATATAAAAAACAGAATCAAGTTATTGATTATTTATGCCATATATATGGTAATATCCAGCTATTAAATTTTAATAGAAAGAGTCAAAATATAAAATATAAACCACCACCACGAGGCCCACGCGTGTCAGACAAAATATCTCCACCCCTTTAACTCCTTCGTCTAAGCTTCCTCCTCCGTAGACCGCAGCTGGCCCCTCACCATCTCTTCCAACCCCCACCACCCACACTTACGAGTTGCAAGTTGTTCACACACAAACATGTATATATACATCTGCACCTTTTTCTTATCCATCACTTAAATCTCAAACTAACAAACAGTCAAACCTTAACTTCACTCATAACTTGCAACTACAAAAAAAGCTACGCATGGATATCTTCACCCCATTTCTTGATCAACTGTCATCGGAAAACTCTTCCGTTGAGTCCTCTTCGGCTTCAGATTGCAGCAGCAGTAGCACCACCACCATCGGCGGTGTTGGATATGGAGAAGTGGAAGTGATGCTGGCTTCAGAAAACCCAAAGAAGAGAGCAGGAAGGAAGAAGTTTAAGGAGACGCGACACCCGGTTTACCGGGGAATAAGGAGGAGGAACTCCGGTAAGTGGATTTGTGAGGTGAGAGAGCCTAACAAGAAATCGAGGGTGTGGCTGGGGACGTATGCCACCGCTGAAATGGCAGCCAGGGCGCATGATGTGGCGGTTTTGGCCATGAGAGGACGATCGGCGTGTTTGAACTTTGCTGACTCTGTGTGGAGGTTGTCGGTACCGGAGTCTAGCAATGTACAGGATATAAAGAAGGCGGCGGCTGAGGCGGCGGAGGCTTTTAAACCGAGAGATGATGTGGTGGTGGAGATGGTGGAAACGAAGGAGGTGGAGGAAATGGTGGTTTACATGGATGAAGAAGAGATCTTTGGGATGCCGGCGTTTCTTGCCAGCATGGCGGAGGGATTGATGCTACCGCCACCTCAGACGGTGGGGTATGGCAATTATATAGATGATAACATTGAATTTTGTGTCGACTTGCCTTTATGGAACTTTTAGATAGATTTAGTTTTTTTTTTTTTTTTTTTTTTCTCTGAATGCTTAGATGTGTATCACATTTCAATTGTAAATATACATCTATTTGACTAACCAAATTCCGCTTAAATCCTTTGATAAATGCCATAATTAACCCATTAACAAAACATTGCTTGTATAGATGATATTGGACATGAATTCAAAACAAAAACAATAACCATATAAATAAATAGTTGACCATTTTTTCTATGTGTATCTTCTTATTTGTGATTACCAAAAGACATTTGGACTGACGTGGGTAAAAATACATATTTAATTAGAGCGTTGCTTTTTGATTGATTTTTTTTTTCATGAAAATATTCAACGAAAAAGCTCTATGTATCTCTAGCTCGTAATAGAAGATCTTATTTATTTGGGTACCCTATTTATTTTTCTTTTTATTAGTTGTTATAGAGGTTGTATATTTCAAACCCGTTAAAAAGCTATGATCTCATATAATAAATGGATAATGATTTAAAATGGTAACATATTTTTCGATTTTCACACATTTGATTACTGAGTTTTTTTTTTCTTCACATTTACTTATTCAACTTGTTAAACTTTACACATTCAGTCCTTATGAACGGCTATTTCTTGTTAGCCGGGAAAATGATTTAATAGGGTAATATATATTTCTCCCTTTGTACAGATTTTTTTTATTTTTTATTTTTTATTTTTTATTTTTTTTGCATATTTAGTCCTTAATATTTTTTTATTGCAAAATAAGTTTTTTTGTTTTTATATTCATTCATCACTTATGATTTATTTCTTTAGGTTTTTTCACAACATCTTACGTGAGACAATCATTAATGAGGTGTTTGGGCTGTTGATGTTTATGCTCATTGTGATCTCGACTATTTGGTTGCTTAGATCTTGTGTTCTGAATACCATAATTTCTCTATACGATATCGGATTTTCACGATCTTTATATCCACGTGTTTGTTTTTTGAGTCTACTACAACTTTCGTTAAGATTACTCTTGTAAAAATATAATATATTTTTACTTACAATTTTGGTAAAAAAACATTCATACATGCATTCATAAAAAACATATGAATATAAAGATCGTAAGTAAAAATATATTACTTTTTAACGTGAGTAATTTAAACGAAAATTGTGGTAGACTCAAAAAACGAACACATGTATATAAAAATCGTTAAAATTTGATTTCGTATGAAGAAGTTACAGCGTTCAGAACACAAGACATAAGCCAAACCACAAGACCTAAACAACAAAACAGTCAAGATCGTGATGGACATAATCATCAACAACCCCAAACACCTCATTAATGATTGTCCCACGTAAGACGTCGTGAGAAAAACCTAAAGAAATCAGTCATAAGTATTGAATGAGTACAAAAACAAAAAAGACTTATTTTGCAACAAAAAAATGTTAAGGACTAAATGTGAAAAAAATATCAAGGACCGAATGTGTACAAAGTGAGAAATATATTACCCTATTAAGCCATTTTTCCCGGCTAACCTAGAGTAGCCGGTCATAAGTACTGAATGTGTACAGTTTAACAAGTTGAATGAGTAGATGTAAACGAAAAAAAAAAAAAAACTCAGTGATCAAATGTGTTAAAATCGAAAAATAAATTACCCTTTTAAGTCATTATCCCTACAATAAATGAAAAAGCTTTAGAGCTTGTTAATTAACAAGCATGCTCAAAAAACTTTGAATTAAAAAAGCTCTTATTTTTCATTTTCAAAGTTTTTTCTATTTGAAAAAAATTCATATTATGATGCTCTTAGGAGTTTTAGAGTTTATATGATTATTCTAGTTCCCTTTTTATTGATTCAATTAAATCAATGAAATAGTACTTGTAACTAGTGTTACGAATTATATTTTCGAATTTATACATTTTGCATTTCATTGTGAAATATAACATTGTTTTGGCACAAATTAATATAGTAGGTAACTTCCTGCTCAACTAAAATAACCAAATACACATTACAAGTATATACTTTTCTTTTTAAAAAATAAGTACAAGAATTGAATGTCAACAACTGATAGATTTGTTATGTCTCTATTTCAAAAACAAGTCTTGACATTAATTAATCATAGTTTTGTCATGTCTCTATCTCAAAACCTAGTTGATCAAGACTTATAGTGTACAATGCGTGTTGTACATAAAGCTTATTTATTTTATATGTTTGTAACGTTTCACTAATCTCTAAATTATATGTTTAATGTTTTTATTAGTAAGCAAATTGAATTTGTAAACTCATATTCTGTTAATATAAACTTTAATAAAAAGCAATTTATGTATGCGTTGAAGAGAGATTGGACCGGCCAAAAGGTAGAGTGGGACCAGAGCATTGATAAAAAGCACGCGATTAATTCAAATTTACAGTAGCAACAGCAAGCAACTGGCGGTTGCCAATTATCAACTACCAGTGTTCATTCCGTGTATTTTATTCAAAAAAGTCATTTTTTGTCCTTATTTGCGCGAAGCTTCCGCACCTTCCTACAAGCAAAATCTATTTATCTCTTTCCTTGTTTTAAATGGATAACCCATTGAAATTTTATTTAATTTTTAAATCTGGTATATGGTTGTAAAGAAACCGAATGAATACGAACAATGCTTGTTTATTTCTTGTTCGTTTAAGTTATCCGAACAAATATACGAATAAACAAACAAATTTTGTTGTTTATATTCGTTTGTTTAAGAAATTACATTATTTATATTCGTTTGTTTATCTTTGTTAACATGCTAAATGAAATAAACGAATGGAGATAAACAAACACAACTCAACATATATGAACACAAACGAATATATGACATAGTAATGTAATAAAAAACAATTGAACATAAATTATATATACAAAAGTTTTAGCTTCGACGATTTCAGAATTGGATTTTGAACGCCGTCGTCTTGTGTTCTCGGCCCTTCTTCTCCGACGGGTACAAACGCCGGCAGTGCTGAGGAGTTTAATTTCTCTTTCTATTCTTCTTTCCTGGTTGGCAGGCGTTGTCCCGTATTACGCTTCTTCTGGTTTTATCGTGATCATTTCTACGGGGTATCAAAATTACCGGTCGTCGACTGGTGATGGCCGGGAAAAAGATCGATTTCTCGAGGGGAAGACTTTGCGATATAGACCTCAATCCAAGCGTGAAGATCATATTGACAGATCTGATGTACATTCTTTCTATGTAATGAATTTTCCTGAAACCATTTTACCTTCTGATACCTTCTGATATGTGGCGTGCTTGTTCTCGATTAGGTAGAGTGGTTGATGTATTTATTTCAAATAAGAAATCACGTATGGATAAAAAGATTTGGTTTTGTTAGATTCTCAGGATTTCATAACGTTGATCATATGATTAAGAGGCTTTGTGATGTTTGGTTTGGATTTCATAAATTATTTGCCTCAGTCCCACGTAATCATAAAAAGCATCTTCCCAACACAAGATCTCTTCTAAGGTTGAAAAGCACGTTCCTTCAAACACTTCGTATGCAAGTGTAGTTAGAGGTCATCACGTTGAGAAATCTAATAAAGATAGTGGTGAGGCCACTATTGTTATTGAATCGGGAGATTTTGTTATTGATAATAAGAAGCTAACTTGTTTGGTTAATGCTAGAGATTTTAATACCCTGCCTAACTTGGGGATGTTGTATCATGATGATGGATTTGAGAATTTTTATATCTGGTATGTTAGGGGCCAATGGGCAATGTTCGAATTTAATTCTAAGGAGGCGTGTAAAAACTTCTTGGAAAGTGATGTGGTGAATCATTGGATCATTGAAAAAAGAAAATGGGATAGAAACTTTTACCTTCGACACGTATTGTTTGGGTTGATATTGAAGGGTTGCCCTTACGTGCTTGGAGCAAGTTGGCTTTCAGACAAATCGTGGCTAAATGGGGCACTATCGTTCATTTAGGTGACAATATTGGTGAAGACATTTACAAGTCTTGTGTATCTATCTTGACACCGTTCTTTGGTATTATCTCCGAGCTGGTTAAAGTTAGTGTTGATTGTACTATTTTCCCAATTAGAGTTAAAGAGGCGCCCAGTTGGAATCCAACATTCTCGTGTGAGTTTAATAATGTTATTCAAGGTGATGATGAGGAGCAAGGTCAATTTGAACAAGATGGAAGTAATACTTAAATATTTGAAAATGAAGAACTTTCACAAGACCCGTTTGGAATATATGAGACACTAGAAAAACTTGATAAGGAAGATCTGAAAAACAACTACACAACTAACCATTCCAAAGGCTTTTTTCAGGGGCATTATGGGAATAAATTTCAGAAAAATGAAACTCAAAATTCCCAGCATTTCTCGACTGTGTCTCCTATTGGGATTTCTTCTGTTCCAACCTCGCATCAGCATCCCCCAAAATGTTTCCCAGCCACCTGCTGAATCTTCGGCAGTCCCTGTTGCATCTTCGACATCCCTTACTGCAGATCTGATTGTAACCTCTGCTGCTGTGTCAATAGTCACCTGCACTGCCCCTACATATGTTCCGGTTCAACCATTTTGAAACGAATTAGCTCCAATCTCTAAAAATTTAACTTCTAAAGGTGTTGTATTTCAACACCTAAACAGAATAATCGGTTTGATGCTAGTCCAGTGGGTTTTTCGGGAGGTTATGGACGTGTTCCAGGCATTAAAAATTCTGAAGATGATCTTACCCATTCCCTGGGTTTTTCTAACCAGTGTTATTCATTTATCGAGGATAATCAAAATGTTTCGGAGGTCTTTCAAATAGTAATTTGTTTTTTATTGAATTGAAAAAGACGATATACATGGGAAAATCTTTGGGGTATAATATGGATGGATGTTTGGACCATGTTAAAGAAATTTTACAAGGGCACGTTGAAAGACAAAATTAAAGAATTGTCTTTCAATAAATGTACAAGGAGCGGGTTCTTTAGAAAAGCAGACTTGGGTTAGGAAATTATGTAATTTCCATAAAATTAATTTTCTAGCCATTCAAGAAACAAAGATGGAAGATGTTGATTTGGTCAAAATTAAA